TTCCTGTCTGCCTGGTGAGCATACACCACCCCAAGCTGGCTGCCTCCAGGTGATAATGGGAGAAGTCTTAGTTATTTACAAATGCCTTCCTGTTCACTAGACTTTCACAGCCAGGTCCTCTGAAGCCAACAGAAGGATTCCAAACAATTTACAGTTTCCAGTGTGGCCACTGGGACCCTTTCCCTGGGGACTCAACTCTGAGAAAGTTTGCCTGAACTGAGACATGTGGTCCAGGAGTGTCTTTCATACTTTAAAGAACATCCTGAAGCAATGTGAATACCTACCTAGTCTAGACTGCTGGGTGGTAAGGAGGGCATGGGTCAGGTCCCATTTGTCAAAATACTTCCTTAAGGGCCATGTAGGGAGGCGCTCCACCTTCAGCTACAAGGCTAAACACCACACTGTTCTCACCACAGGACCTGGGTCTTCCCATGAAAATGAATCAAAATGCAATGATCTGTCCACTAACAGATGTCCAACTTGAAGGTTAAAACTAAAGTGAGATACAAGTGGATTTCTAAGCACACCTTTGCTCCCTGGATAAAAATCAAACTCCTGAGCAGAAACCATGTTGAATGTCACTTGTCCCCTCACCTGAGAACCTTGCCTGCCATGTGGCATCCAGATCCAATGCCCACTCCACCCCTTTCCTGGATACCCATGTGTCCTGCTGGCCCCTTCCTTTCCCATTGTGACTCAGAAAGACCTGCTGTGATTTCTAGGTGTGGATTTTCCCAAGCATGATCCAAGGGATTTCCTCCAGGGCTGCCGTGGCCATGAATGAAGATGCTTTCTCTGTTGGTCCCTTGTGAGCCATCCATCTCCTTGATTCAGGAGAAAGGCAGTCATCTCAGCATCGCTCCTTATTGGTCTCTAGGCCCCTCCACCATGTGAATGACTCAGGAAATGAGTTGTGCCCTACCTGAGTAATGAACAGTATTGCCCCAGCTGTTGCAGATGCTGAGGCAAAAGGACTGCCAGTACCAGGCCAGCCTGGGTCACACAGCAAGACCCTGTCTCTAATGAAAGAAAATTAAAAAAAAAAAAAGATCATTGCCTTTAAAGCTCACATCTGAGACAAAACAACACAAACCCTAGTCACTTGGTTTCATCTGCTATACCATTGGCCACCTTTGAACCCAATCAGAAGATAGTTCTTGCTGTGGATATCGCTCTGTATAAATAAAACACTGATTGGCCAGTAGCCAGACAGGAAATATAGGCGGGACTAACAGAGAGGAGAATTGAGGCAACAGGAAGGCAGAGAGGGAGAGACTGCCTGCAGCCGCCGTCAGAACAAGGAAGATGTAAGGTACCAGTAAGCCACGAGCCTCGTGGCAAAGTATAGATTAATAGAAATGGGCTAAATATGAGTAAGAGCTAGACAATGATAGGCCTGAGCTAATGGCCAAGCAGTTTAAATAATATAAGTGTCTGTATGTTTATTTTATGAGTGGGCTAAGGGACTGCCGGGGATTGGTGGGACCCAGAGAGAAAACTCTCCAGCAACAAGTTCTCTCCTGTTCCTCTCCTCTAAGTTCAAGTTCCTTCCCTGTGGTTAACCTCCTTCATGCCCACCCATACCTCATCTAAATGGCTGTTGCTCTCATCTCATAGAAATAGCCGACATGTTGGTGCAACCTGCCTGCTAAGGATATACAACTTCCCAGGTCATCTCATGTTCCCATGCCATCTAATGTGTAAAATAGCTGAGTCCAGTGTTCTGTGGGGCCAGGTATGATGCTCAGGTTGTTCCATGGGACTCCATCACCAGCAAGCAGGGGTTGCATGGCAGCTCAGAACTCAGCTCCATTACCTAAAGAGTCTCCACTTGAGAGTAGAGGATGGGAGACAATTTAAATCTTTTTTTTTTATTCTCTAATTTTTTCCTTTATTTTCAAATTAGAAAAGCACTACGTATTGTAATACTTTAAATGGTGAATAAAAGCAAAGGTGAGCATGATTCCCTGTCTTACCACATTACCATGCTCTTGAGACCACCAGTACATGCACAGCACATACTACATTCAAGGATAGCACATCAATATACAGCACATAGATTACCCATGCTGTAACACCTTGTAAACCACTTCATGTGAATAACGTTATGACGATGGGAGAATCTGAGTGCACAACTGTATCTTTAGTTACCCATCTATTTTCCATACCTTTCTAGGGTATGTTGCTCTAGGCACTTTCTGGAAAACACAGATTTGCTTTGGCCAGGGGACCATGCCTGTCTTCGGTGGCCTCCATTTCCTGTTATGACTTTTACTGCTGCTGCTGCTACTGCTGCTGCTGCTGCTCTTGCTATTGCTGTTATTGTGGGGTTTAATAAGATGTTTGTATGCTGGGATGAAACCCAGGACCTCATTCCTGCTAAGCTCTTTATTATTGGGCTCTACCCCAACCCTAACTTTTTGCCCATGAACATTCCTACTGCCCTGGACATGCTGGGATTGAGTAGATCTTGAGAAAAGCATTGGGTTGTTTTTTTTTTTTCCTTCTTACTTGGTTCTGAAAGATGCCCTGCCTTGCACACCTCCCAGCCTGGTGGCTTCTTGTCTTCCTTCCCTTTCTGATGGATCTACTGGCCAGTTGCCAGCCCCAATGTTGCCTCTAACCTCATCTCTTTCCCTTGATGCTCCAAAAGCCATCAATCTTTCCAATGTGGACCCATTTCCCTTTCCCCACTCATGTCTTTCTCCATCCATTGTCTGGCAAAGAGTACCCTAGTGCTCAGTTGGTACCCTCTATTTGTCCTTCTGATTCTCACCCTACCAGGTCACACATTTGAGCCACATTCTTGCACTTGACTTTGTAGGTTCCAAGTAGAACTAATCCTTACCATAGCCTATAAAACGGAGGCTAAATGTACCTACTGTACACAATACACTCTGCTAGGTGAGAGGGACACAATTGCTAAAAAATTTTTAATTGTTTTTTAGGCCAGATGTTGTGCTGTACATTTAGGGTATGAGCTTAAGGAGGCAGAGGCTGAGATGAGAGAATCTTTTGAGTACAACACTAGGAGGAATTCAAGGATGCACTCAGCAGCACAGGGTGTCCTCATCTCAAAACAAAGACAGACTTAGGGAAGACCATTCATTGAAAAGCCACTGGGAATTATTAGTGAGGGAAGGAAGTCTCTTGAAGTCCAGCAAACGGCCTCAGAGGATAGCAATGCATCCAGTCACAACTGAATGAGAGTTATCCGTGGAACAGAACCTACAAGATGATACCTGAAGTGGGGTTGGAAGTGAAACATGGAAAGAATCTGTAAATGAGAGCCTCTTCCTCCTGCAGGCTAGACATAAATGGCAAGGGAAGCCTGGCTGGAAGAGAGACCATCCCATGGGCTGCACGAGTGCCTATATTAAATGGAAGACCTGGTGATCCATCTTTTGCGTAAGTGACCAGTGACAACTCAACCTGTTCTAGAGATCCTTCTGAGTATGCAGCTTAAATAAAGCCCCCAACCTCCAGCCCTTAGATGGCTCTCCCCTCCAACACACATCAATCAATTACCCCAGCACAAAACAGACACCCAGGAAATGAGACACCTGGCACCGTCTGCAAGAAATCTTGGCAGCCACTAGGGTACCATTTTGTTACCCTAAAGGATAGCTGAAATACTCCAAATTAATTTAATGTATCTGCTTTGAGCTATTTTTCCCATGAAAGACAAACAACCCACACACACACACACACACACACACACACACAAACACATTGTGCTGATTCTTCCCTCAGAAACCCACTTGTCCACTCTTGTCCACTTGGAGACCAGGCTGGAGGTTCAGAAGGGGGACCAGAGTGAGGTGAATTTGTCTCCTGGGGACTGAACCTGCGACCTCATTAGCGCAGGGTTCTAATCAACCGAGCCACCAGGCACATTCCTTGCTGAAGGCACCATGGCAGTAATTTGCTACATGTTAATTCTAAGATTAACTACAGATGAGGAGCATTCCTAGGGGGCAAAATGGGAGATTTGCTAATTCTTGGGGAAAGATTTAGGTCATCGGTTTTTGAACCCTTCCGTTTTAAAATACAATTCTGTAATCTTGAAATGGTGCCCACCACCGTCTACCGCTGTCTACATCAGGACAAAGCAAAAAGAGCGGTGTCGCTCTTGCAAACTACTACCCAAGTGCCTGTTCATGGAGTTCTCCACATTTTCTGTTTCAAGCACAGCACAGAGAGAACGGGTTCCATGCTGAGTCGACGATGGTTTTCCAAAATCTAGAGGGCTGCACCCCAACACTGCCACAGCTACCCCCTTTCCAAAATGCTAAGTCCTGAAAAGACAATCCTTCCTCCCCCAAGAAAAGGGGAAGGCAGTGTTAGAGACCTGTCTGAAGACAGAGGAAGTCTAATCCACTCCTCTCTCTTCCTTTTCCTTTAACCAGCCTTGAAAAGCTAATGTTTAAAAACAGTAAATATGTATGGAATACTGTTTTGACACTGCCTTGGTATCCTGTACTCGAATTTCTATGAATATTCTGTCTGCTTCCAAACTCTGAGAACAATTTCCGTTCCGAGGCTACATTAAACATTCAGGCCATTTCAACGTTAGCTGCTCCCACCCTCACTGTGACTTTGAACTTGATATGGCTTAGGAAGAAATCAAAGCAACTATTTAAAAATATTAATAAAGATGGGATCTATCCCAGACTTTGTAATTTTGGGGAGGGACCTCTGTGAGGCATCCTGGGAACAGTGTTGGGAATGTGCCCATACTAGCTTTTCTGTGGGAAGCTGACTGGAACCCCCACTGTTTTCTGGAAGGATTTTCACCATGGAGAAACTCAAGCCTCACACTTGCACATTGAACCTTCTGTCCTAGAAGCTTAAAGCAATGATTTAATACCTTGGACTGGCTGAGGATGTAGTTCAGTGGTAGAGCAAGCGCTGGGTTTGAGCGTCTACAAACAAACACCTTGACATGCATACATATATATACATCTAGGCTACTGTCAATTGTAAGAGACAATTCCCACCTTTGTTGTTAACTCCCAGCCTGGCATCATGGGAGCATCCTGGGTCTTGACTTGACCATTAGAGGTTCTTGGGAAAGTTAAGTCTCTTGTGTCAACTGCTGATTTTTTCATCTGTAAAATGATGGCAATTATAATTACTACAAAATAGGTCTGCAGCTGTGCACCAGAAAAGCACATAAAATTATTCAACTCCAGGTTGAAACACAGTACTGAGGGACTCATTCAAATGTAAGAGTTAGGGCCGTGGGTGTAACTAGGGTAGAGCACTCATTTGGTTTGTATGAGACCCTGTGTTTGATCTCTAGCACCACAAAAGCAAATAACTAGACTGCAATAACCTAGCTACTGTGGGCCTCTCTTAAGCAAAGCATCCCCCATCTGGGTGTAATATGTTGCATTTCAAATACCCATCGCTTTATAAAGCCACAGCAAAAGTTAAATATGTACTACAGTTCTACATCCACAAGGAAAACACTAACGATTAAACTGAACACAACATGCTTAAATAGCATGCTCTGATTCACATAGCTCAGAGGCAGAAGCCTCAAATGAAAATAGCTAGCCCTGATTTCCAAATTAATGCCTATAAAAATGTTTTCTTATGAAATTCATTCTAAAACAGTGCAGTGGAACTTTCCAAATTAGCATGACCAAAATAGATGATCTTTCTCTCTACGATATATCCGATTCTTAACCAACCCAAAGGTTTGAAGGAATTTCAAAAAGGGTATAAAAATATTATCTGCCTATTCAAATAATCAGGCTAAGAACATTCTTATCTGAAAATACAATCTGAGACAGCCTCATTTTATAGTCAAGAAACTCTCTTAACATATTCAGGGAGCTACAGTTTTAAACAACTCAAATCGAAGCTGACAGTCAGAAACTAAATAAACAAAAACTAACTAACCTGCTGGGTAGTATCCGTCTTACAGTCCTGGGCACAGTTGTGGCAATCTGCAGGGGGATGGGTGGTTCAGTAAAATAAATAGTTTTCATTTCCTCTCTATATTTCCTCAAACCACACCAATGCACTTGTCTGTGGTTCACTTTAAGGGTTTGGTAAGCACTCTCCCCACCTTGCTTAGAAGACTATGTTTTATTGTTATTTTTGTAATAAAATGGAAGAAAGAATGTGGGTGACCATTGTTTTAATCCATTGAGTCCTAATTGCTTCCCATTCTCATTCATTAGCAAGGTAGTGTTCTTAAGAGACTTAGGGGGCTTTTTAGCCATTAAATATTGCCTTTTCATTTTGTGATGTTTGTTTCTTTCCATAAAATGATGCTGTATAGTCCCTCTCATGGTGATGGATGAAAGATAGAGAGAATTCTGTTAGTGATATTGGACCATGAAGAAGTAAACTTCAGAGATCAAATCCCCAACAGAAATAAAATGTATTATGTGAAGTGGAAACATGGGATTCCTTAAAAATATTCAACACGACTGCTAATTTAGTAACGTTGTTTTATTAATATTTGAAGGGGGAAGGATATAGCTCTTAGGCTTTAGCCTTTGGCCAGACTCTCTCTACTTGCCACCATTCCCTAAGTGAGCCAGGATGTTTACAGGCCCCAAAGCCTGTGAGCCTTGCAATGGGCTGTTAAAACCACAAGGGTCACAGGCAAGAGTTGAAGATGATGTCATTGTACTTACCTCAGCCAAGGTTACAGCTGGATCTTGGTCTCTGTGACTCAGTAGGAGATGGGAATCATCTGTGACTCAGTAGGAGATGGGAATCACCTGCTTTCAACAGTACAGGATACTTACAGCATCACTGAAATCTGAACAAGAAAGACATACAAAAGTGCTACAGTGAAGCCAGATGTGGTAGTGTATGCCTATAATCCCAAGTACTTGGGAGTCTGATGCAAGAGAATCACATGAGCCTAAGAGTTCAAGGCCAGCCTGTGTAGCATAGTGTTGCAAGGATATCCAGCCCCTTTCTAGACATTTGGGTAATCAAGTATCTTTTTGAGCCTTGACTTCTTTCTCCAGTGTAAAAGATGTGGTGGTGGTGGTGGTGGTGGTGGTGGTGGTGGTGGTGGTGGTGGTGGTGATATGCATTGGAAGAAGTAGTAGCAGTGGTCGTGGTAGTCATGGTGATGCTGTTGATGGTGATAATAACAATACTGAAGGTTATGGTAGTGATGGTAGTTATGAAGGTGGTGGTAATGATGATGATCATGGTATTGGAATTAATGGACGTGGTGATGGTGGTGCTGGCAGTGAGGGTAATGGTGAGGGTGAAATGGTGGTGGTATTGGAGGTGTTAGTGTTGGAGTTGACGGTGGTGGCGGTAACAGTATTGGAGTCAGTGGCAATGGTGGTGGGTGGCGGCAAAGGTAGTAGTGATGGTGGTAGTGATAATAATAACTTTATTGGTGGTGTTGGTGGTAATGGTGCTGGAGGTAGTGATTATGTGGCAATGGTCATGGTGAGCATGGCGATGTTGGTGATCATAGCAACAGTACTTTACCAGTGGAGTGAGCATGGTCATGACCTTCAAATCTCAA